GCTCCTTACAGCAGATGTGAGATTAAGCAGGGGGCTGCTCTCTCCCTCCCCAGGCATCCATAAAGAAGGGAAGGAAGTTTTCCAGGGCCTTTGCCCCAGCCCTGCTCACCAGCCGATGCAAACATCAGGCTCCTTTCCAGATCTTATTGTTCCTTTTTCCTCCCCCCCGCCGCCATCCCGCCGCACTAACCATAAATCAGGTTGCTCTCCCTCAGGACCAGCTAATGCAGCTGATCCCACACGTGAAGACCACCTCACAAAGCTCCTTCCCTCCCTCTTCCTGCCAGCACAGCTTCAGCCAGGGATGCAGGACGAGGGGAAAGAGGATGATTTTTTGCCCCACCCCAGGTCCTGCCCGCTGGCTCCGGGCACTGCAGGCAGAAAGCGCAGCCCAGCTCCACTCCTCTTCTCCATTCCAGCCTCTTTCCCAGGGGAGGACGAGGATTAAGAGGAAGCAGATTAAACCTAATGGATTGATTGCAATTATTTTCCCTTGTTTATTTGCAGCACTGTATGGGAGCCTGAAAAAAGGGAAGCAAACGCTCTTTATGCGTGTGCAGTCCTGGTCCTCATTACGTTTCCTTCTAGAGAGCGACCCGGGCCAGCCAAAAATAAAACCAGCTACATTTGAGCGTCCTATTTCAAGCTCTTATAAACTGCGATGTGCACATACTTCTGTGTGCAAACCCACACGCAATCCTGTGTGAAGCAGCTCCAACACCAGCCCCGTGGGGTCCCAGCTGCCCTCGCCCACGTGTCCCACATTCACTGGGGACACGCACCCTCCTGGGAGCTGTCGGAAGCTCTTTGGGGCAAGAGCCAACCTCTTGTTCGGGGGAAGTTTTGCCTGTCTGCATGTCGGGGGGTGGGTTTCCTCCTAATTTGGCTGCCTGAGGGCTGTGTGGGTATTTAGCATCAGAAATATACCCTGGGTATCCCTTCGCCTACCCGGAGCTGAGCCCTCCAAGCCTTTCCTGGACTTGGTGCAAAAAATTTGCCCCCACATAAATAAACCTCCCTGGGTCTGGGGGTTTTGTGTAGGATCTCGGGAGGCTGATCCTGCACTTTGGGGTGCTGAGGGCAGCGTTGCTAACGGCACCGGGGTGCAGAAATAGGCACCTTGTACCTAAAATGGCAAATGGTTCAAAATAAGTGGACTTGAGCCTTTTTATAGCCTTTTACAGCAGCTGAAGTAACTTGGAGGGGCAGGAGGAGGAAGCTATCTTATTTTTCTGGGTTGGTTTGTGGTTTTTTTTCTTTTTTTCCCCAACATTGAAGGTTTCTCTGGAGTGCACTGTCTGTGCCCTCGCAGGGAGCGGGGTGGGCAGCGCTGGGGGGATGCTTGGGACATAAGCTGCTGTACAAAGCTGGATAAGTCGTGTGAAGCTCCCGACGGCGCGTTCCTGGCTGGGGTCTGAGTCTCCTCCGCGTGCTCCTGAGAAATCCGCCTCCACCAGAT